TCATTATGCAGTTTTCTCCACGCCCCATCGTCTTCCCTCTTAGGCCCAAATATCCTCCTCAACACCCGATTCTCAAACACCTGCAATCTGTGTTCCTCCCTCTGAGTGAGAGACCATGTTTCGCACCCATACAAAACAACAGGTTTTGTATACTTTAATTTTCAGGTTGGCAATTTATGATACGTTATTTTTTATTTGTTAGCTAATTTACTTCCTGGAAAAATTTAATAACACTTGTCCTCCAATGAAAGAAATTATAACTCAATACTTAACGTTCATCATTTTGATGAGTGTCGATTCTGTAATCGTTTTCTCAGATTCTTTGAATATTTTAAAAATATTTTTGAGGGACCATTTCCTTCGTCAGAACGGAAAGTAAGTAAGTTTCGTGCCTGATTTTCGTTAACCACAAAATTAAATCAATATGGCGTATAGCTTCCTCGTTTTATAAAATCCTGTTACCTTGATGACGGTGACTGGGCTAATCTCCGAAACGTCGGTTGTCAGCTCAGTAGTGACAACGGCTGATCGCCCGAGAGGGTTTTTGTAACGCGCTGTGAAAGAGTGAAAACGATCTTACGTAACGTTCTCATTACTTATGTTCGGTTTGCACGTTGCATCAGTAAAGCTGTCCCACTATACGCCATGTAGGCGCTTGGGGGGGGGGGAGAGGTATAGCTCCTACTCATTCTCATATTTTTTGTGGGTAACACTTCGTTCAGCGAATTTGTGTGGAAGGATAATTGCTTTGTATTACATGTAACCTCACGAATACTAATCTGATGGCTGACCGCTGTGCTAGACTGTGGTGTTCGATGCACGATTCAGACGTTTTTGTGCGACTGAAATGTGCCCGCCTTGTGTTACTTAGTGTTTTAGTACATGGAAAAGGCTTTTGGCGAGGTTAATTGGAAGTTGCTTTTTCAAACAATCAGTAAAATGACTCTTGATTGGAGATAAGGCGTCTGATTCTGAACTTTTGTAATCAGAAGAGTTTCGAAAATAAGAGGAGTGAGACAAGATCGCCCTCTTGTTCATAGAAGATGCAATAACAATTATGAAAAAGGAAACAAAAGAAATCAAAATTAACGGAGAACAGGTGCACAGAATCCGCTTTGCAGATGACGTTGTAATAATATCAGATTCGGAACAGGATGCTTGGAATATTTAACAAAACATTACGGAAGTTGAAGACAAAATTCATGGTAGTAGACCAGGAGAAGGATGGGATGAAGGCAAATGTAAGAATAGGCGAAACAGGTCAGGGAATTCTGCTGTCTGGGGAGTTTGATTGACGCCTTACCGAGGTCAGAAGGATATCGATGGCAAAGCAAGAGGAACCTATTATTAAACCTTTTTTCGAGTGTGCTGACATGGACGTGAGACCTGGACTTTAGGGGAAACAAAAAAAAAACAGGACTTTAGGAAATGATGATGAGTACATGGAAATGACGCATTGACAAAAAGGACGAAACTGAAGTTTTGAATCAGCAGTAAAAGTGATAAAATCCCAGAAATGTTTAGTCGCAGGGGAAAGAAGGGGGGAAGAAATGGAAATAACAAGTGTGGAATCGCATGAATGGCGTTTCAGTTGTGAAGAATTCGCCAAGTTTTGACCTCTGTTGGCGAATGGAGGATTCCCTGGACTGGGGAATCCCTGTCACTATAACATAAAACAATCACTTAGGTCTCCGTCTAAAGTTTTCTTTATTGTCCGATCTCAAAAATAAGCTGCAACAAACACGTTTTCCTTTATTTATTTATTAATTAATCGGCGTTGTGTTTAAACTCACATTTATATATAATTTTAAATGTACGATTACAGAAGACACGGTGTGACGAAAACGGTTACTCGTCACAGTGATCAAATGCTGGAACTATAAGTTTTGTTTGGCTGAGGAATTCAAACACTGAAGTTTCTTGGGATGCATAAATGTAGATAGAACGATAATATTAAAACTGATGTTAGATAAATCTGTTTCAAAGTTGTGAAACACGTAGTATTGTGTTTACATTACGTGAACGCATTGATAAAGCTGTGTGTTTAAAAAACACTGAAGTTGTTTGTCAACTGATTTGCTATCTCTCATGTATTTGTGTAAACAGAGGTGACAAGAATTCGCGCCTGTGGAAGTGAGCAGGCCTGTTCCAAGCCACTGATGCAGAAACCTGTAGAAGCGCCCTTTGTCCAGGTGCTCGCTGCTCTTTAGAATCAACTGAAAGGCGGATGAATCAAACCGAGGAACAAATACAGAATGCCCCTTGAAAATATTCAAAATGGCCACCGTCCGTGTCTTCTGTTAATACAATATACGGGTATCGATAACTAGGTTAAGTTTGACCTTCAGAATTCTCAGAATTTTGCAGAAAACTTGTTTCTTGACAAGATTTTTCTTAAGATTAATTGTAATCAAATAAATATTTTGAAGATTTCATTTTCAATATAAACTGTTTGTTTTATGTGTTATTCATATGTACGATCTAAAGCTTTCACAGTGACGAAGTACAGTGAAATTTTTTTGGGCTACCAGCCATGTTAGGTTTTTGAAAGGCGAAAAGGTGTTTTAGCCTTTCAAACACCTGTCATGGCTGGTAGCCTTAAGACGAATTCATTAAGGGCGTATTCGTATGCTTAAATGCTTTTTGTTTCTTATTAAAAAGAAGTAAAAGGAAAGCTGTCCTACTATACGCCATGTAGTAGCTTGCGGGGGGAGAGGTATAGTTCCTTCTCATTCCTGACCTTGGCACTAGGTCGTGGTGAATGGTCAGCATCACGTCCCAGCCGAGCTTAACCCCCAGAAAAGGACCCCAGTACCCACTGGATAGGAGGCTGGGTGGGCTCCAGAGCCGGTCTCGATGCAGCGGCTAGGAAACACGTATAATTAAATAACGAGTTCTACAAAAAGTATTATTTTACGTTGACATTCACAAAACGTTATGGCAAGGACAGCCGGTGGTCTTAAGGTTAGCCAATACAGTGTTTCCTTAAACTTTTAGTTAGGTCTGACAGTTCCTTGCAATAACAGGCTAGCATTTATAAACTATTGTTAAAAAGTGGCTCGCTCTTGAGTAGAGCTTCACAAATGATATGAAGTCTTGCGTAGCTGAAGACATGCCAGTCTATCAAGAAGGACTCTGCTCTCAGAGAAAGAGGTATGCAGCGTGTGCTTGGGATGGAAGATATAAGAAATTTGTAAGAAATTCAGCTTGAGATACAGAAGGCAAGAAACCGCTTGGAAATCCAGGCATAGATGAAAGGATAGTATTAAAATAGATCTTATAATATTTATACATATTTTTGGAACGTAATGTAGATATATGACTGTATGTTGCGGAACGTGTTTGTTATGCTTTACACTAAATACGACATAGAATTTGGAATTCTTATGAACATTGTAAATAAATTAATGACTTCTTCTCGTACAGCCCACAAACTGGTTGGCTGTGCATGCAACACGTTACGGTTTTTTTATTACTATGAGCTTTTATATCATACGTTATTGATCAAGTTCTCAATATAAGCGCTAGATTGCGCTGATGTTGTATTTTACAAGTACTGCTGCCATTTGCTAGATTTTGGAAGTAGCAGCGTATTTCTGAAGGTTGATTTTTATGAGAAGTGTTAAAATCATCTCTTCATGTTCCGGCCTCCTAAATTGACAATGGTCTATGAAATACTGAATTTATATATTATTGTCTGAAATGTGGGATAATGATGATGAAGTCTGGATTTGGGAGGAGAAATTAAGGGTCATGGGCTAGTTTATGTTTCATAAAAAAGATGTGCATGAAACAGCATTTTAATTCTTAAAACAGCATTTAAAAGAAAAATGCATTAATTACATGAGTGCAATGCTTCAGTCAGCCGCTGTATATTATAAATTGCTTACAGGGAAACGAAAGATTTTGGCTGTAAAGCCTAAAGGGTACAAACCACTCAGAAGAATAATATTAAAATGGATCTTAGGGATATAGGGTTGGATTCAGCTACCCCAGGACAGGGGCCAGAGGTTGGATCTCGTGATCTTGAGTAGCCGAGTGCGCAATAAGATATTCAGAAAGGACTCTGATCAATGGAGTTGATTGTGGGTGTGAAACTTGGTCTCTGACCTAAAGGAGTTTATCTCAGAACTTGATAATGAGGAGGTTATTTTGGCAGCAGAAAGGAAGTAACAGATGTTTCGTAATATTTACTTCTACAAAGATTGAACGAAGAAATATAATCAGGATGCATCATCAGAGAAGCTTCATACTGGATAAATGAGTATTTTATATATTTATATATGTATTTTATTACAGTAACATAATTTTTTTTTTTGTATATTGCACTGTTTAATTGGGAAAGCGACTAGGTATGACTTCACAAATTATGTCTGTACCATCAATAACAGCGCGTGAGATAATTTTCAAAATGTGATTAAACATAACAACAGCAAAATTGTAAACCTACGATTATGTTCGTGATGTCATCGGAATGTTTTCGTGGTCATGTACAGTCGTCGAATGGTTCGGTATTATACTTTGTGCGCGCATTTTGAAGAATCTCAGTCCCCGCTAGGAGCGCTGGCGGCAGTCACTTCATGCCAACATTCCGCAGAGATAAACCTAACCTCACTCCATTTTCTGGTCTCAGCACGAGCTCGCTTAACAGAGCGACGTCCTCTCTCTTGTCAAGGGAACGCAGTTTGTAGTGACGTAGAATGTAGGAGAGCACCGTCTTCTCCTCGAGCAGGGCGAACTTCTGCCCTATGCAGTTCCTGGGGCCTGCGCTGAAGGGGATGTAGGCGTAGGGGTGTCTCTTTGATGCCCTCTCCGGCAGGAAGTTGTCCGGGTCGAACTTCTCGGGGTCGGGGAACTGATCGGGGTTCCGATGGAGGACGTAGATTTGGACGAGTATTGTGCATTCGGAAGGAATATCGTAGCCCGCTGAAACAGTGAATGTCACATTTTGCCACTGTGTGTCATGTTGGCAGGGATGTGGAAGGAAGCTGCTTAAGGTGCCATTGTCAGAAGAAAAACCAAGGGATCATGTGTAGGGTTTGAGGTTTTCACGAAGATGACTGTCTTCTGGATATCGCCCTGATGATGGAGGCAGCAAGTACCTCCGAAACGTAGGTAAATTTCTGTCAGACTACACGGTGAAGCATTCCAGAAGACAGCCATCTTATGCCTGTATCAGGTCATTATAAGACGATAAAAATCGAAATTATTGTTCATAAAACTTTGTATCTGTTTTCAGATTTTCGATTATTTGTCTTTGTGTGAATAGAATTTAGGATGCCTCTGTAGAGGGACGATTTTTAATGGTGCATTACCTATTTTGACGTCTTTCTTGAGCGTTCTTGCGATACCCGGAACACTGGGGTACAATCTCAGGGACTCCTTGATGACCCTCTCAAGGTACTTCATCTCGTTGAGGTCCTTCATCGTGGCAGGGCGGTCAGACCCTTGGAAGATGCTCTTCTGCTCCTGGTACGCCCTGTCCTGTCCGGGATTCCAACGACGTTTAGTTGTTAGCGGTTTAATTAGCGAGACAAACTCACGGGGTTTGTACGTTCTGTACCTTCGCGGTGACAGACATCAACAAAAGCTTTTCGGGTTATCAGCCATGCAAGTTGGTTAAAAGTCACCGACGTTTCAAGGACCATTTCTGTCTCCGTCATTAGGGCTTCGACCGAAACATCGGTGATTCTTAACCAACTGTGACTGCTGATAACCGGAGAAAATGTCATTGTCCCTTTGAAGCTCAGAGAGAGAGAGAGAGAGAGAGAGAGGTAAGCGACCCCTACACGGTCAATATTATTGTGCAATATTCAGTTTTGTACAATAATATTGATCGTCTATGTTACGAATTGAAAGGTTGTGCAATATATTGTGTCAATGAAAAATGGTTTGATATTTATTGCGCAATGTGGAAAATGTTTGCATCATCTGTAGGCAGTATTACGCAATATCGTTCAGTTCTGTCCCAGACGTAGTGGCGTGGACGTCGGTGCGCGCTGAACATGATGTCGTCTAAAGTTCATTTTGGAATTTATAGAGGTTTATCACTCGTTGTCGGCTTTGTGGAATGTTAAGAGTAAGGAGTACAGCAACCGGAATAAAAACAAAATGAACAATACGACCTACTCGTTGAAAAATACAAAGAAAGACATCCGGAAGCTTAAAAACAAGAAATGATTAAAAAAATCAATTCTTTGCGCACTAATTTGCGCAATAACGTAGTGTAATAGATAAATGCTGACTTGGAGAGATAGCATCTCGCATGGTAGTATTTCTTTTCTGAATTCGAGAGGTAATCATTCTTAGCAGTTCATCAAAAGATTCGCCATCTAGACGCATAAAGTTCCGAGAGTCGCCTGGTTCACTCACTCTTAGGT